GCAGATAAAATGCTTGTAAATGGTGTAATTACGTAGTACGCTCCATTGTTTGCTACTGGCGACCTGGACGAAATGCTTTAAAGCTTAAGTGTATGGAATACCAAGGAAACTTTGAACGGCCATGGCGTGGCAGATCAGCACCGAATCGAGTGTATGTCTCGCGGCCCCCTTTCGAATGAGACCACCCCCGCATCGATAGCCGAAAGCCCGGGAGTTAGGTATATTAGGTCACTTCACACTTCTCTAGTAAGTTTCGTCTGTGTGTGAAAACAGTAGCGCAAATCCGTGAATTAATTTTCCTTAGTGGAATAAACTTAAACTTTACGGGTCATATGGTCATATGATGCGATTTCAAGTTTTCCTTTCTCTTTGGGGTGTTACAAGCTGTTCATGAATAGATAAGATTTGCAAAGACGCAAAGACTAAAGTCTCAAACCCAAAGTCTCAAACCCAAAGAGATATTTCCGTCACACGCTTGAGGTATTTGGCCAATCACAACGCACTGGATAGCTGGCCAATCAGAGCACACCTCGCTTTTCAGACCGATGAGCTTTGTAAAAATCTACATGTTTCAGAAAGGCGGGGCATAAAGGAGAAACAATAATGTACAGTATGTGGAAAAATGTTTTTTTTAACCTTAACACATTTCATTACACCAAATACACAAAATAATGTTCTTTTTAGCAACATCATATGACCCCTTTAAGTGCACTGATGTCAGACTCATTTTGGATAAAGTTTATTGTTAAATGCCCTGCCTCAATTACATATCTTTGTCACATCATTATAAGTATTTGATCACCACATTTGAGTGATCATTGCAAAAAATGTGTTTATGTATATATATTAGGGCTGGACGGTATATCGCGTTTGTACGATATATCGATATTTTCTTTATAGGCGATTCAATATGAGGCAATACCGTTTATATCAATATACAGTATTTTGATACGAGCGCATCTGAAAATATAGCGGAGGACACAGACTGAGCTGCTGCAGAGAAAGTACATAATCCAATTTGTTCTAAACATGTGACAAGCTTTATATTAAGGCCTTTAAAAAATGGTAAGACATAGTTTATAGTTTTGTTTCGCATATTAAGCAACTCAGCCCATCATATGCTCTGACAGAAAGGCTGCATGTGCCGCTGACAGAGACACTAGGCTACTCGCCCTATTTAATGTGTTTAAGATGTGCTGTCTTCCTGAATGCATAACTTACATTTCACAGTTATATTCTCCATCTGTAAATGTTAGAAAGCCATGGAAATATTTCCATTTTTCTGTCAGAAGTGCATGAGCCTTCTGCTTTGGGATTCTCACTAAACTTCACAGACTTCGGTGAACGAGCGCCAAACAGACAGAGCTCAATTAAATAGGAGCGCAATAATTCTGACTAAAATATACATGCCGCTGAAATATTTGTAGTTAGACAATAAATGTGACATGTAGAATTTTAAACCTACAAGTAAGTTTATTTTTTTGATAGCACTGACAGTAAAGTGACTGTAATGGGGTAATCAAAATAGACTAACACAACTCTGCTTTTGTTCTCAATTATTTTCATTTTTAGTTTAGTGAATTTAACTTCCGCTTTAAGCCATATTTTTGTTTTTAGATTGCAATGTTACAATGTTACAATGAAATGTGATTTTAAACCTTTTTTGTACATAATATAAAGGCTTACATGGTTACATTCACGTTATTTGTTTTCATAGCCTTTAATATGCATTGTTTTTTTGGACAACATTGGGCGGTAAGTGATATATACATATATATTAAATACAATTTTTAATCCAAATACAAAAACTAAAATACCGAGATGCATACCGCATATTGCAAACCGGCCAAAACATACAGAGATATAAATTTTTGCACATATCGCCCAGCCCTAATATATATTCTGTTTATGTATATACTGTATTCTATATATAGTACCAGTCACACGAATGGGAAAGTGTCCAAACTTTTGACTGGTACTGTACTATAATATACACAAAGAATATCAGCCGATATATCGATATTTTTTACACCCTAATATCGGTATAGGCCCCCCAAAAACCCATATCTGTCGGGCTCTAGGTAAAACAGTCAATTAATCGCCATAATATCAATTATTTCTTAGACAATTAATCTTCAGACAAATTTTATAATCGTGACAGCCCTAGTTATGATGCTGTGACACTGTTGCACATGGGCATATGCTTTTTTTTTTTACATAACCAGTAAGACTATAGGCAAGCACCTAGAACACCTTAGCAACCGCATAGCAACATGCTAAATCAGAAATTAAATTAGAAACGAAACAACAGAAATAATGAATAAATAAATAAACAGTCCCACTCTGAAAACCTAGCCAACTGCTACAGCAGCTACTCTAGACTGCCTGAACTCTTTCATTTTTTTAGAACATGTAAAAATCTAGCTCTGACCTATTTTATGAACAAACTACAACTATTCTATATAAACAATTGGTTGAAATTGTTTTACCTGTACTTTGAATTAACTAATAAATACTTTTAATTAATAGTATTAAAAAATGCCCTGTGGCGCTTATCTTTAATCTATCCCTTGTAAACATTGTAATATAATAATCAACTTATATTGCTTGATTATACAAAAGATAATCCAAACTATTGTCTCTAAGACTATGAGGAACTTCATACCGACTCTAAACGGTTTACCTTTATTGTGCCACATTGGTGCATTAAGGGAGACAGAGATATGCCAAATTAATCCTTTGTAAAGAATTAATGTACCATCACTCAGCATGAAATTAAACTCTATGCCTAAGTGAGCCACAACTGCAAATAAGATTTTTTTAACGATTTTTATTTTCATAAATCATGTCAGAGAGGTGTGATTTTACACTAAATACTTTCCACAAAATGCATCATTACGATTTGAACAACTCGTGATAAATAAACACTTTTCAGCATAAAGCACAGATTTAAGTAACAGTCTCACGTGCGCACAGCAGCAGAGTAGTTTCGTTTTGAGTGAAAACAGGGCAGAGAAGCTGGGAGGTTTTAAAAGAGTGTTAAGGGAATTATACAAATGAATATATGAATGAATGAATTATATGAATGTACCGACTGTCTTAAGAAACGATTCGATGGCATTTGTTTTCATCTTCGCTCCATGTAATACCTAAAGGAAGTGTTCTTAATTGCACTACTGCTTTGTCCACGGAGTTTACGGGAAACAGCTGTAATTCAGCTTTTCCATAAGCGCCACCTGCTGTCAGAGAGTAGATTTACAGAGACCTATATTTACATTCAGCCTGTGTGCAGTTTCTGTCTGGCCAAAAATGGACCGAATTTGCATGCCCTGCTGTAAATTTTGACCGGTTGATGAAAAACAAGCTTATGTGGATTCTACACATTTAAACCATTCAGATAAGTTATCGAGAATTATTTATGGAGCAGATAAAAATACATATAATTTATTAATCAATAATTTTGACCTAGCTTTTCTTTATTTAAAAGGCTGAAATGTGAGGTTTACCTTTTTATGAAACTTTTTCAAAGCTTTATTTGAACATTTACATTAGATATTTCAACATGCTATTAAACTGTTGTCAGTCAAGTTGTCATTTAAAATCCGAACATCATTGGTAATGTTATTGTTTTAGTGATTATGCAAACAAAGTCATTTTATTTGTTGTTTGTTGATTTTTAAATATAAAACTTGGTGAAGTGATTTATGTGTCTGTATTTTTTTTAACATCTACAGCACATTTTAACAATACCGTGATAATACTGATAACCGTGATCATTTTGTTCACTATAATCGTGATAAGAAATTTTCATACCGTTACATCCCTAATATATTATAATAGAAAAGGGAATTTATAATAGAAATTAAATTATAAGGGAATAGAATTTATTTTAAATTCTAAACAATATTTCTGTTTTTTTATATTTTTTGATCAAATAAATGCAACTGAGCATGACAGACGTCTTTCAAAAATATATATTTTTTAAATCTTATCAACCACAAACTTTTGAAAGGCAGTGCACTGAATCTGAAGAACACAATCCTATCATCATTTCACACAATACATAATTTCAGATTAGCCCTCACCTTTAAAGACACGCTAATTCTTAATTACATTTGAAAAACTTGGAATCACAAAGTCTAAAATCCCAATGTCAAATGGCAGAGCAGATACTGTATGGTCGAAAATCATTAAACCTCTGAAAGGTGGTTAGTACAATACAAACACATCGCCCATCAACAGTAATCTGACTGCCTTAGTTCCGTACATTTTTGGCTTCTTTTCAAACATATGAGACATCAGAAAAGTTATATCGATTAAACTTGACTATTCTACATAACTATCACATGAAAAAAACAAAACTTAAAAAAAAACTGAATGATGTCTGCGGAACCAAGTCAAAACCAATTTTCTGTATTCAATTAAAATTTTTGGTCATTTTGTGGAGTCCAAATTAGTTGGCTTTGTTTGAAAAAAAATTCTACCTAAGCCTGACCACTGACAACAGAAACAAAGGAGAAATACAAGTCACGAACAGTTCAGAGGATCATCCAAGTGCCAGACTGATAAATCCTCTCCAAAGTTTCACACCTTCCCTTTGGCAGTACGACCCATTCAAAGTCTCGAGTTGGCATGTGCCGCCTTTAGGAAAGCCAGCTTCAGCTCATTTCCATTTCTCACACTAATAGCTGCCACAAAGTGACCTTGCCCATTCCCTCACTCAGCAGCTCCGCCTTTATCTCTCCCATAAGCCCCACGCAGGTGAAAGCTAATCCATGACTGCCGCTATGTGCACAAGAGAGCATACACCTCACCACACTGTGTTAACAGACACCATGTGCTGCGTTGACAGAGCCTGAAATCTAAAAAGCCTTTTCGGCGAGTGTTTAATGTAGGTGTGCACTGTCAGTGTCAAACAGGGGCAGAGTGACTGATAATTATGGGTAACTGATTGCTGCAGTCCAAAAAAGCCAAAAACCCAGGCGTCATGTAGAACTCACCATAGGGGTATTTGGTGTCCAGCTTGTTATCAGCACTGCGAGACCAGGGCAGTAGGTCATCGTCACAACCATTGGGCATGCCATTGTAGCCAATACCCACTATCTTGTTCTCTTGATTCACAATACAAGCACCAACCTGAAATGAAATTGAATACCAGCTTATTTTCCAAACATCTATCACCACGAAGACAGCCTTAAGGCACAAGCCTGATATTTATACTTGCAATGTGGAGGGGGAAAAAAATCATGCGACACTTTTACTTTTCACGTGCGAATTTCACTGTGTTCCAAAGTTCAAGTTTGTTGAAAATATATGCACATTTGTATCACCTGACCAATAAAAGATTGTTACATCATGCTGTGACCTCTTATTTGAATTAAAAGAATGCAAACTTTAAGTCTTAAGTGAAGTGGAGCAGACTAAATATTTTTACATTTTTACAGTATTATATGTTGAATTATGTTTTTTAAAAAGATGCTGCAGAGCATGACATTATATTAAAACCGTTTCTGCATTTTAATTACATATAAAATTTCCAATCAACTGGAGTACACAGTTTTTAAACTAATAAACTTGCATGCATATTTGTCAGTCACAAACCAATGAAACAAGAATGTGATTTATCATGTAATATTACAAGTAAACCATATGTGTTTTAAATATTTAAATACATAACTGGGTTTTATATATGAATCATCAATAAATCCAATTACCTATTATTAGTATTATGATTATTTGTAAACCATATCTCAAACATTTTATCTAACTGAATCTTGCTTATTCCATATTCGAACCATTTAACAGTTGTTGTTTTTTTTCACAATTAAAAGATGTGTTCATTCTAAGGTTTCTGAATAAATACCAAATGTGATTTAAATAAATAAAACGGATGCAAATACTTCAACTATGCCACAATACTTTTTTTTTTGAGTGCTGGACTATTCCAATTGAAAAAAATCTTAGCTTTTATGAGCGTTTTGTAAAAGTTGGACTATTTTGTAACAAGATACACCATTTTAAAAACATACTAAAAGACTCAGTCTGGTCTGAAATTAAGTCAAGCTCCTGACATGATGGCTTGCTGTATGTTCCAGCAAGACCCATCAAATTCATCTGATGCAACAAGTTAGCAGAGGAGGAAAGCAAAAGACTTTCCTGAGATGATGGATCGCGGTCAACAAAGTTCAGTCAGCATGAGTGAGTGGGGAGGGACCTGCATTCTCAGTTCACCAAAACTCTTTTGTGTCTTAGATATGCAATCCGGCTCTGCGCCTTTAGGAGCAATAACAGATGCATGCATGAACTGACCGAGGATCATGCTTGACTGAACTTCAATATTGCGCTTAAATATCGGGAGTGTTTATATTGGCCAGGAGGTCGCTGCACAGCAGGAGAGGTCTGAGACCAGAATATGTTCTCACAGTACATGGAGCGGATAAGAGGCCTGTGTCCTTTGATCAAAAGAAGCTGTAGGGTGTTTGGAGATCTTTGAGGTATTGTAGTACCAGACTGTTTAGAACTTCTCCAAGCTAATATTAATATTAATAATTAACAGAAAGAAACTGAGATCAAAATATTGCAAAAATTACAAAAGAGGTCTAACTTCATATTGATTGTAATGCCATCAAATTTCAGATTGATGTATGCTGACCAAATCGACCCACATTTCAATCTAGCAGAACTGCAGGCAATCAATCTCTAGTTACCTGAGAACTGGGGTCCTTGCTCCTCTGTGCTGATAAGAAGGCAACAGCCATGAAATACTCAGGCCATTCCAGGTAGCCCTGCCTCTTCTTTGTCTCACCTTCACTGTGTGTTCTGATGGATTGAACGAATTAATGCAATAAGGGGGAAAAAAAGCTATTAAAAAACTGTTGTCATGACAGCACAAAAATACAGACAAATCATCACTAATATAACATCTAGGGAAAGATAGTACATGATCATGTGTGAACTCTATTTTAAGAATATGATAAAAATGAGGGCAGAATTAATGTATTACTCATTATAGCTTACATATTAAGCTTAATATACAATTTTGAAATCATCATGATGAACATTTAAGTGCCAAGCACAGTGACAGACTGATACTGACATGGGCCGATAAGTCCCCCGTGGACGACCAGGATACTAATCAAATGGATTGCAAATTATTTACATGTTTGAAAACATAAATTAAGATGTTAAAATGTTCAGCATATGCGTATCTCAATTACTACACATAATTGTATCTTATTTCTAACACTCGAAAGTTTGGGGACTTTTTTTAATGTTCAGAAAAACATCAAAAACAGTAATATTGTGCAATATTATTAGAATTCAAAATAACTGTTTTCTATTTTAACACATTCAAATCTAATTTATTTAGAGATGCACCGATTGACCGGCCAGTGATCAAAATCGGCCGATTTTTCGATCTTTTTCGATTTTCACAGTCGCGTGTAAACATGTTGTTTCGAGTGAAAATGATTCTAATTTTAATTGAATTCACGTTTATGTCGTGCCACATAAATAAATAATTTACGGAGACACTTTTATCCAAAGCGACTTACAGTGCATTCAGGCTATACATTTTTTTTTTACCAGTATGTGTGTTCCCAGATGAGGCTTGCACAGCCTGAGTGAGTGTGTGAGAGACAGCACACACACAACTAGCAGAACTGCAGGCAATCAATCTCTAGTTACCTGAGAACTGGGGTCCTTGCTCCTCTGTGCTGATAAGAAGGCAACAGCCATGAAATACTCAGGCCATTCCAGGTAGCCCTGCCTCTTCTTTGTCTCACCTTCACTGTGTGTTCTGATGGATTGAACGAATTAATGCAATAAGGGGGAAAAAAAGCTATTAAAAAACTGTTGTCATGACAGCACAAAAATACAGACAAATCATCACTAATATAACATCTAGGGAAAGATAGTACATGATCATGTGTGAACTCTATTTTAAGAATATGATAAAAATGAGGGCAGAATTAATGTATTACTCATTATAGCTTACATATTAAGCTTAATATACAATTTTGAAATCATCATGATGAACATTTAAGTGCCAAGCACAGTGACAGACTGATACTGACATGGGCCGATAAGTCCCCCGTGGACGACCAGGATACTAATCAAATGGATTGCAAATTATTTACATGTTTGAAAACATAAATTAAGATGTTAAAATGTTCAGCATATGCGTATCTCAATTACTACACATAATTGTATCTTATTTCTAACACTCGAAAGTTTGGGGACTTTTTTTAATGTTCAGAAAAACATCAAAAACAGTAATATTGTGCAATATTATTAGAATTCAAAATAACTGTTTTCTATTTTAACACATTCAAATCTAATTTATTTAGAGATGCACCGATTGACTGGCCAGTGATCAAAATCGGCCGATTTTTCGATCTTTTTCGATTTTCACAGTCGCGTGTAAACATGTTGTTTCGAGTGAAAATGATTCTAATTTTAATTGAATTCACGTTTATGTCGTGCCACATAAATAAATAATTTACGAGACACTTTTATCCAAAGCGACTTACAGTGCATTCAGGCTATACATTTTTTTTTTACCAGTATGTGTGTTCCCAGATGAGGCTTGCACAGCCTGAGTGAGTGTGTGAGAGACAGCACACACAAAGTAACTCAGAAATGTATAGATGCATACCGCGGTAGGAAAAAAATTAAATATTTACAAAATATGATTTAGGTAAGCAACACATGATGTTTCCCCAAATATCAATATCAACACGATTGCAATGTGACACACATTCAAATCTAATTTATTTAGAGATGCACCGATTGACCGGCCAGTGATCAAAATCGGCCGATTTTTCGATCTTTTTCGATTTTCACAGTCGCGTGTAAACATGTTGTTTCGAGTGAAAATGATTCTAATTTTAATTGAATTCACGTTTATGTCGTGCCACATAAATAAATAATTTACGAGACACTTTTATCCAAAGCGACTTACAGTGCATTCAGGCTATACATTTTTTTTTTACCAGTATGTGTGTTCCCAGATGAGGCTTGCACAGCCTGAGTGAGTGTGTGAGAGACAGCACACACACAAAGTAACTCAGAAATGTATAGATGCATACCGCGGTAGGAAAAAAATAAAATATTTACAAAATATGATTTAGGTAAGCAACACTATACGGCCATGATGTTTCCCCAAATATCAATATCAACACGATTGCAATGTGACACTGATTTTATACAATAGTATTTCAATAAACAAGAAGTTAAAATTAAGTGACTTAAATTGTAGACAAAATATTGACCGTTTTTGCACAATTTCGCTGACGAAAATACTTCCAAAAAAATCGGAATCGGCCAAGAAAATTGCAATCGGTGCATCTCTAAATGTATTCCTGTGATAGCAAAACTGCATTTTCATTGGTCATTACTTCAGTCTTTCTCCAGTGTCACATTATCCTTCAGAAATTAATCTAATATGCTGATTTGCTGCTCAAGACTCTTATTATTAGCAATTTTAAAAATAATTGTACTGTTTAATATTTCTGTGGAAACCACGATAATTTGATGATTGATGAATAGAAAGTTCAAAAGAACTAGGCTAGAGCCAACACTGGAGGCTCCTGTAGCCTACTGGAGTGAGCTGCGGAACTAGAGCGGAAAGAAATTTGCTTTTTGTCTTTACTCTCATTTTTGGTCAATTTATAGTTGCTAAATGCTTATTTTTTTCTTAGGGATGTAACAATGCACCCCGAGCCGGTTGAAAATCGATAAAAATGTGTGACGATTCAAGTCGGTTGAGATGTTAAAAGAATGAGTTTTCCATTAATATGAAAGTTTATTTTTGTCTCAGTGGAGTACTACATCTTTACTTGTGCTGATCATAAATCTTGCATCCCTGACGCCCCACTGATAGCTGTCTACATGTGTGATTTGAGCACTGACAGACATTATCATCAGATGGTTCACCTCCAGGGCTTTCCATTTTAACTTAGTGATATTACACCTTTTGCGACACATCTCAATGACGGTCTTTGAAAGGCATGGGGATTTATGTGTGAACATTTAATGGACCCATCTGACTTGACTCACTCTTTTTGCTAATGTCTCTGGTGATACTCTTTTTTTTGAGCAGCTGTCAAGAGTAGGTGTAGGGGTGTGTGTGTGTGAGAGTTAGTCTGCTAGTGAAATACTGAGGATTGATGATCTGAAGCATGGGCAGTGCAGTCACACAATGCTGAGGCAGTCATTAAACGTATCACAAACAGTATTTGAACAAATAAATTCACTCATCGTGTAGTGCGCCTGCTGCCTGCTGCCAGCTAACAGGGCTGAAGATGGCAAACACGACCACAAGAGGGCAGTTAATCATTATATCCATGTTCATGTCAATCCCATCTATATTTTCAGTATTTATCAATTGTATACACGCTATAACACTGAATTAATAGATCAAGGCATTAACTGTTTGTGATAATGTGTCAGAAACATGCAGTTTCTGCAAATCTATGCCCTTGTTGCCTGCAAAAAGTGCAATCTTTTTGCGAAATCTAACTTACTAGCACATTTGTCATGAACACAAATCTAAAGTCATGACAGATTCCTGTCCTGACAAGTGGTGACAACAGTAAAACAACAGATCGACACAATTACCCGTTGAGCTGTGATGTATCGTTCTTTGTCTTGTCGTCCATGGCTTAATCAGAGATTGCTAAATATGTTCTTATCGATATTCCCTGATGTGATTTTCCAGCTGCACAGCAGAACAGAAGAGCTTCCCGCCAAGTTCTTCTTCTTTCTCCGTTTGTTTAATGGCGGGCTGGTATCAAAAGAACATGCCGCCACCTACTGTTTGTTCCGGGTTTAGAGGAGGCGCAATGAGTTGAATAGCGCCATCTGTACGCGGTTATGCACATTAAAATGTGCATAATATCTCTCTCAATTTCAATTTAAGAGTACTTTATTGGCATGGCAAAAATTATACATTTGTATTGCCAAAGCAATTGCAACTGGACTGCTTACAAATAGTACACATATGTATTAATAGAAAGAAAAAGAATAATAATAATAGTAATAATATATAAAAAGTATTAAGCATGTAGTGCAAAATGACTCTTTTTTTTGAGCAGCTGTCAAGAGTAGGTGTAGGGGTGTGTGTGTGTGAGAGTTAGTCTGCTAGTGAAATACTGAGGATTGATGATCTGAAGCATGGGCAGTGCAGTCACACAATGCTGAGGCAGTCATTAAACGTATCACAAACAGTATTTGAACAAATAAATTCACTCATTGTGTAGTGCGCCTGCTGCCAGCTAACAGGGCTGAAGATGGCAAACACGACCACAAGAGGGCAGTTAATCATTATATCCATGTTCATGTCAATTCAATCTAACATGTGTGATTTGAGCACTGACAGACATTATCATCAGATGGTTCACCTCCAGGGCTTTCCATTTTAACTTAGTGATATTACACCTTTTGCGACACATCTCAATGACGGTCTTTGAAAGGCATGGGGATTTATGTGTGAACATTTAATGGACCCATCTGACTTGACTCACTCTTTTTGCTAATGTCTCTGGTGATACTCTTTTTTTTGAGCAGCTGTCAAGAGTAGGTGTAGGGGTGTGTGTGTGTGAGAGTTAGTCTGCTAGTGAAATACTGAGGATTGATGATCTGAAGCATGGGCAGTGCAGTCACACAATGCTGAGGCAGTCATTAAACGTATCACAAACAGTATTTGAACAAATAAATTCACTCATCGTGTAGTGCGCCTGCTGCCTGCTGCCAGCTAACAGGGCTGAAGATGGCAAACACGACCACAAGAGGGCAGTTAATCATTATATCCATGTTCA